ATTTATTTATTTATTTTAGGGCCTCAAGTTGCTGAGGCTTTATTTTTTTTAATATATATATTTTTAATTGTGGATGAGCCTTCATTTATTTATTTATTTTTATGTGGTGCTGAGAATCAAACCCAGTGTCTCACACATGCTAGGTAAGTGCTCTACCACTGAGCCACAACCCTAGCCCCTGAGGCTGGGTTTGAACTTTTGAGCCTTCTTATTCAGCCTCCTGAGTTACTAGGATTACAGGTGTGCACCACCGTGTCAAACTTCCCAGCCCTTTTTATTTTATTTTGAGATAAGATCTCAATAAATTGCCAGGCTGGCTTTGAATTTGGGATCCTCTTGCCTGAACCTTCTGCATAGCTGTAGGCAAGCACCACCATGCCCAACTTCTGTATAGTTTTTAAAGGACACAATTGAAATAATCAAAGGCAGCTTGGCAATGTGTATCAGTTTTATGTACATTTACCCTTTTTTGTTCAGCATTGTGTCTCCAGGGATTTATGTTGTTTAAATACTATATATGCAGAAAAGATATATGAAGGAGGTGTACAAGTGCAGTGATAGTTTTAACTGTAAGAAATGGAAATAATTTGTTAGGATAGTTGTTAAGTTGTAGTTCATTCATATCATGAAATAAGCAATTATTACCAAGAATAAGGTAGGTAGATGCATATTGTCATTTAAAGCAATTTGTTCATATAGTCCTAGTTTTCAAAAACAAAAATTACATAGGTATTTATGGATAGAAATATTTAGAGGGGGATACATGGCAGTATCAATGTGGAAATGTTTGGGGATCAGGTAGTCTTTTCTTATGTACTTCTGTATTTAAATTTTATAGTAGTAATTGAGTGTGGTGTCCCATAACAGTAATCCTAGCAACTGGGGAGGCTGAGGCAGTAGGATGTCAAGTTCCAGACCAGCCTTAGCAATATGAGGCCTTAAGTCATTTACCTGAGACTCAGTCTCAAAATAAAAATTTAAAGGGCTGGGGATGTAGATGTGCTGTAAAGCCTCCCTGGGTTCAATCCCAATACACACACACACGTATATTGATTAGCAGGTATTCATTTTGAAACTAAGAGATTTAACAGTATAGATATTAGAGTAGAATTAGTCTAAAAAAGTATTCAGAAAATATTGGAGACTCTTCTATTTGTAATCTTCTGTACCATTGAATAACCTCAGTTCGTGCCTCTTTCTGGCACATTGGGTCTCACAATAGCAGCTACTTAGATCAAAATTGAAACTTTTAAAAACAGGTACAGTATATTAAACAGTCGATTATACAAATTCTTTTTTATGCTGTTGATCTTGTGACCATTAAGTTACTATAAATAGTGCAAATAGTACTGAATTCTAAGGAACAGTTGTGAATAAGTAGTAGTATAAGGATTGTCATGAGAAAAATCATGTCAAGTAGTAGACAAAGTATTATAAAATATGGACACAGAAACAGTTTATAGCAGATAGAGTATTATAAAATATGGGCACATAAACAGTTTGTATATATGAGGAGAGATTAATTTAAGACATAGATTAACTCCCACATTCATCAGCAGAAATTAGCCAAAGAAAGGCTTAGGAGATTTTGCATGAGTAATGAAGACAGGAAAGGGATGTATGTAAAATACTAAGGCAGGGACCTTACAAGTAAACAACAGTTGGGAGTTGTTATTCCCAGTTTTATCATTAGTTGATAAGTCACTATCACTAAACTGTTACCAGGCTAAAACTACAGATCATCTGATGCAAGCTGCTGCTCATGTTTTTTCTTCTATAAATCCCGGTTCATTGTGAGGTTTCCTAACTTCCTAATATTCCTGATGTTCTCAGTTATGTCTCAGTACACTGAAAATATACATAGTTTTTAGCATATTGAAACACTTACTTCACATTCAGGTCAAGGTCTGTATAGATTTAACATGTGCTTTGTAATGCTTAAATTATTCCCATCACTTTTCTCCACCTATATGCTTAGTTGTTCCCACTGTCACTCTATGTGTATGTGTTTTGCTACCCAGGGTCACTTTACCACTCAGCTATATCCCCAGCCCTTTTTATTTTTTATTTTGAGAGGAGTCAGTAAGTCACCCAAGCTGGCCTTGAACTTGAGATCTGTTTGCCTCAGATGCCTGAATAGCTGGGATATAGATGTGTACCACTACACCTAACTGCCAGTGGATATAGTAATAATAATATTTGGTTTTTAGTAATTTTTTTGGTGGGGAGGATGCTGGGGGTTAAACTCAAGTGTGCTTACCACTGAGCCAGCCCTACGCCCACCCACCTTTATTTTTCCAATTTTTAAAAATTTATTTCTTTTTTGGTACCAGGGATGTAATGTAACTCAGGAGTGCTTTACCACTAACTCACATCCCCAGCTCTTTTTATAGAAATTACTATCTTTCTCTCTTCCTTTGGCCTCATTAAGTAGCTGAGGCTGGCCTTGAACTTCAATCCTCCTGCCTCAGCTTCCTGAGTCGCTGAGATTACGGATGTGAGAAACCAGGCCTGCCTGGCCAAAATTTTGAGATAGGGTTTCCTGAGTTGCTGAGGCTGGCTTTGAATTTGTAATCCTCCTGAGTAGCTGTGATTAGAGGCATGTGCCATTATGCCTGACTGTAGTAAACTTTTTTAATGATAGGAAAAGCATATTTGAACTTGAAGTAGGAAATTTATTTTACTTAAATAAAAGTTTTGTTATGACACGGAGTATACATACGATGTATCTTATCCACAAGATATTTTATCCACACTTACTTTATAGACATTTTATTTGTATTGCCACAATACAATATCTTATCCACAAGATATTTATCCACACTTACTTTATAGACATTTTATTTGTATTGCCAATGTTTAAGTATTATTTGTCATATAAAATTAATTCAAAGAAGGGGGAAAAAAAAGAAAAAGAATGGGATTCTCATTAATGAAACTTTTTTTTTTCCCCCAGACCAGAATCCGTAGAAGCTAGCCCTGTGGTAGTTGAGAAATCCAACAGTTATCCCCACCAGTTATATACCAGCAGCTCACATCATTCACACAGTTACATTGGTTTGCCCTATGCGGTAAGTGTCAAAACATTTCTCTGGAAGGAAATTTCTAAAATTTAGAGGTTGAAAGAAAATGGTCTGATCTTATGCTTAAAATGGAATATTTTATTTTATTTATTTTTTTTAATATTTATTTTTTTAGTTTTAGGTAGACACAATGTCTTTATTCTTTATTTTTATGTGATGTTGAGGATTGAACCCAGTGCCCTGCGCATGCCAGGGGCTCGCTACTGCTTGAGCCACATCCTCAGCCCCTTAAAATGGAATATTTTAAATGCACATTTGTTTCATATCATCTAAAGAATATAGATATATACTATGTAGTTTTATAAGAGGAATCTTCCTAAAGATTTTAATATTATTATTTTGCAATTATGCTAATAGTACTTTATGTTACATTTCTTTCCCATGAGTAAGGTTACATTGTGTTATTTGCTGTTAAGTCTAAATTATATAGTAATTTACATGTTAATGAAATGTAGTTTTTATTTGTTGAGCACTTGTTATGTGCCAGGCTTTATGCTAAGCATTTGTATATACAGTGTCTCATTTAATCCTCAAAAAGAACCTCTTGATATCTGGTTTGCATCCCTATTTTTTATCTGAGAAAGTGAAACCTTCTCTAAGTTAATTTATTCAGTATTGCATACCTAATAAGAGCCAGAGATTAGATCCAGTTTCAGAACTGGATGTATTTGTGATATTATGAAGGTACAATTGTGAGAAATTTTATTACTTGGACCAAAGTAAAGATTACCAAATTTTAAAAAAACCCTATGTTATATAATTAGAGATAGTATATCATCTGTTGTTGTTTCTATTATTCTTAGTTTCTGTATTCTTGGAAATTTTAAATTTTTTTCACCTTTATTCTCATGTCCTGCACCTGCTTTCATCTTGAAGGTAAAGCTGTGTGACCAGAGGACTATTATGATGTCTTTTGATTTGGTGGTCAGGGTGACATTGATGTGAAGATGATCTCCCCAACCTTGTAGATAGCTATATTCCCTTACCATTGTTTTAATATATTGCTTAATCAAGTTATTTTTTTTAATGGTATTCAGGAAGAGTTGAGCCAGTTTCACATCTCTTTTGAGTTATAAAATTAAGGGTTAAATTTTGTTTAAATTTCTTAGGGCATATTGTTGAAATTAAATAATATCATTTTATTTTTGTGTTCCATTATCCAGGACCATAATTATGGTGCTCGTCCTCCTCCAACACCTCCAGCTTCCCCTCCTCCATCAGTTCTTATTAGCAAAAATGAAGTAGGCATATTTACCACTCCTAATTTTGATGAAACTTCCAGTGCTACTACAATCAGCACATCTGAGGATGGAAGTTATGGTACTGATGTAACCAGGTGCATATGTGGTTTTACACATGATGATGGATACATGATCTGTTGTGACAAATGCAGGTAAAATATTTCACAACATTATTATTTTTTGAATGCTCCTAACCTTTGTCAATTTGGAAGAGATGACTAGAGCCACTTTTGAAGGAATTTATGATTACATTTTTAAAAGTTGGACTTCTACTATTATTGATGCAGTTCATTTTATTTTTAGAAAAAGCTTATGTCAACAAAAGCTGTCTCCCAATCTATGAGAAATCCCTATTGTAAATTGAGTAATAGATAATCAGTTCTGAATTATATTTATATAGGATCATCTCTTTTCACTTAGTTCAGTAGCAATATAAGTACTTAGAGGAGTAGATAAGACAAAGAGGGAAATTATGTCCTTTGAGTTTCCTTTGCAATCATTTGTGCTGTGTCAACTGTGATTTTCCATTTTGGGGGAATTAAACATTTTGATTGATGTTTATTTGACCTGACTCTCTCACCTCCTTTTGACTTGAACCTTGCAGCACTCTGGAGTCTTCTTGTACCAGAACCACAGTCTCCCCTCCCCCAACCCTGATTCAACCACCAAGAAAGGCCTCCTCCCCTAGAGAAGGTGTGATTGGGACAGAAAGTGGGGTTTTGTTTCACTTGGGTTATTTATTTATTTATTTTTTGTGGGAGGGACTTTGGGAGGATGGAGAGGGAACAGTAGGATTTCAGCCTTAAAAGTTATTGAGTCCATCCCCTACATAGGGTGGGGAGTAGAGAGAATTTAGGCAGTAGATGGCAAGAAAGTTTGGTAGCTTTATAGGATTTCCTGAGTTTGCTCCTTATGGCTTACTTGATTTGAAGTAGCATGGCTTATATCCATATTTGAATGTAATACCCATATAAAGATGCATCCTAGACCCTAATACAAATTAGTTTGCATTATTTATAAAATGTTCCCACCCAGTAAGTTAAGTGATTCAGAGTTGCATATTATTAATATAAACTTGCAGTTAAAGGTAATATTTTAAAAAGCTCAATTTATTTTTGCCCCCAAATGGTAAATTAATATGTAGAATGTGAAATTGGTATTGTATTTCTGAAAGGTTGTAATATGAATACTTTTTAGTAATAAAAATGTGGTAAATTTATTCAGGAGGTAAATTGAAAATATAAAAAATGACATATTGTTTTTCTTATATTATTGTCAATTCTTATTGTAGCCAGTCATACAAGTTTTCTCTTAACTGACCCACTGTGATAAATTACGTACCACCATGTGGCATCGTTTTTATATTAATGTATAATCTCAGCAGTGTTTTCTTTTGATCCAGTTACAGTGATCTATGTATGATATGCAGTTATGTCTATTAGAGAGTGGTGAAATTGTTCTTAGAATTTTTTTTATATCCATCTACACATTCTTTTCTAAAATATTTTTAGTTGTAGATGGACACAATACCTTTAGCTTTTTATGTGGTGCTGGGGATTGAACTCAGTGCCTCACATATGCTAGGCAAGTGCTCTACCATTGAGCCACAACCCCAGCCTCATCTACATGTTCTTGAAGGACCACTTTACAGTGTTTGGATTATTCAAGGTATTTGCTTCTCAGTGACAGCTCTCTATTTTTCTTCTCTCTTTTTGCTCTTTATTGCTCAGTCTGTAATGTACCATACAGCTTAATATCTCTCTCACTCTTTTTTTCTTTTTTGATGTCCTACAGATTATACCCCAAATCTTTTTTATTTAATTTTTTTTAGTTGTAGATAGACACAATATCTTTATTTTATTTTCATATGGTGCTAAGGATCAAACACAGTGCCTCACACATGCTGGGCAAGAGCTCTCTACCACTGAGCTACAACCCTATCCCAAGGCTTAATCTTTTTAAATCTTTTCCCTTTTTTTTTTTTATGTTGCCTCTTTATATTTTTTCAATATTCCTGCTACCCATTATAATTGCTTTCAACCCTGACATCTAGAACTCTGTTCATTTATTCATTTTCAGTCTTTGTTTCTTCTGTTGTCTGGATAAGCATCATTATTTAACCCTCAAATTTAATGTAATCTATTTTTCTAACCTTCATTATCATTTGACTGCTTTTGTTTTCCTTTTTCTTTCTTTGGGTACAAGGGATTGAACCCAAAGGTGCTTTGCTATGAAGCTACATTCCCAGCCCTTTTTATTTTTTGAGACAGGGTCTCATTAAGTTGCTGAAGTTTTTGCTAAATTGTGGAGGCTAGCCTGGAATTTGTAATCTTCCTGCCTTAGCCTCCTGGTTGCTGGAATTACAGGTGTACAGCACTATACCTGTCTTGCCCTGTGTTTCTTTTTTACTTGTTTTATAAACATATATTCTATTACATACCTCCAAAATCTACTAGTTCTTAGTCTTAAGATTCTTAGTTAAGAACAACAAAATAAGCAGCTAGTTTATTACTTTTATATTAGAAGTGGCTAATTATTATGTAAAAAATAGCTAAGACTATTTTTGCAAACAAACATACACATTATTTCAGTTAATTGAAAATTTGGCAATAAAATAACAAATTGAGACGTTTGCTGCAGTCTGGTCCATACATTTCATTGAAAATAATTAGGTTTAATTTCTCTCCCCAATGAATGCCTCTTGGGTTCTTTGATTTCTTTTTCTTTGCCATTATTCTGATTCTGTCCTTTTAAAGCTTAAATCTGAAATGTTGGGAAAGCCTCTAGTTTGTCTTTTTACTTCCATTTTCTTAGCTACTTTGTACTAATACTATATGCCACTGAAATTGTTAAATGTTGACAGAAGAAATTTGCATACATCCCAGTATTCCAAGTCCTATATAATCTGACTGTACTTCATTAATTCACTTTTAACCCCTCCTCTGATTTCACAAAATGAATAATTCTCTTCATTTATATTGGTTACCATCTGGCCACCTTCTCCTTGTATCTGTTTATTGATAAATACAACAATGACACCTTTTCTTCCTATTTGCCAAAATGAGATTATTTTCACACCCATTATCCTCTGTAGTGCTTTCCCCATGAACTTCAATTAGTGTGGACATCTCCACATTGTAATTTCTAATAACATACATAATCTTTACTTTTAGCATTTTAAAATTGTATTTGCTTTAGAAATTTATTTTTTATATCCTATTTTGCCCTCTTGTTTTATATCTCAGAATTTTCTGTGAGGATACCCTTCTATGAATTCCTCCTAGCACCTTTTAGAATGCTAAACTCAAAGTAGGCCTGCTTAAGTGGTGGTTTAAATAGAATATAAAATCTTAATTTAAGGATGGTTTTAACATTTTATATGTTTTCCTTTTTTTAAGTGTTTGGCAACATATTGATTGCATGGGGATTGATAGACAGCATATTCCTGATACCTATCTATGTGAACGTTGTCAGCCTAGGTAAGTTGCACATACACGGTAAGATTACCAGTAATTTCACTGAGCAAAATATCAGAAATTTATTTATGAATTCTACATTAAAGAATTAATAATTGTATTTTACCGATTTTTGAGAACATTTTCATTTTTTCTGTTTATTATTATTTTTATATCCTCAAATCTCTAATATGAGGAAGAATCTTGTCATTTACCATATGATGTATAGTTTACTTTATAGGGATTTTACTTTATTGTGTTGGTTTCTTTTTTCACTGAAATACAAGAGTCACTGAAATACCACTTCCTTGATTACATATAGAATTTAATAGGTCTGTTATGACTCCTGTTTGTAGTATATGGTTTTCTTCTTAACCCCATTTATTTCTTATTTTATGGATATTTAGACCTATATAAAACTTAAATAGTATAATGAGCTCATTTCCCCCACCTTGCTTCAGTAATTATCAACAATTATGTTTTGCCTGTTATTTTTACTTTAAAGATAAAATACAAGAGTTTATAGTTAAAATTACAGTTTAAATTTAGGAATACAATTTTTTA